CGCCTTCTGCTGTGGTGGCTGGGACTGAGGTCGCCGGGGTAGCGGGCGGAGCGGGCCTGAGATCATGACTCAAACTTAAGGGCTAATTTTGGGTGTTTCCACTGCTACTTGGGGGTGCTTCCAGCTAAAAGGGCTTCCAGCCCCTGACAGCTTCAATAGGGCTTCCAGCCCCTGACAGCTTCAATAGGGCTTCCAGCTCTTGACGGCTTCAATAGGGCTTCCAGCCCTTGACGGCTTCAATAGGGCTTCCAGCCCTTGACGGCTTCAATAGGGCTTCCAGCCCTTGACGGCTTCAATAGGGCTTCCAGCCCTTGACGGCTTGAAGACAGCTAAAGGTTTTGAAGATTAAAAGGTCAAGTAAATTCAGTCAAGCTGCTCCTGGGCAGGTGCTTTCGCCGGCGGCTGCTTGGGAGGTGGCGACGTCTTGCCCTGGAGCTGGAGGCCCTTAGGAGGTGCAGGCAGTGGCTGTGGCTGCCTCCAGGGCCGCTGACCCTGCTCATCCTGCCCATTGGAGGTCCAATTAATGTGGAGCTCCTGGGATTGCTGGCTCCTGGATGAGCGGGGATCCTGGGGCTCCTGGCTGCTCCTGCTCATGCTCATTTCATCCAACTGTACCTCCAGCCAGTCGTCGATCGACTCGATTGTTTCTGATTGCTCAAATACCCGGTTAATGAACAACCTGATCGACTGGTCCTGGGGCATATGGGTATTGAACTTGAGGCTAAGGTGTTGCACCACATCGTTTTGCCAGTGGCCGAAGGTCTCGCCCTGGCCGCAGGGGTTTTCATTAAGTATATAGTTTTAGGGGATGGGGGCTTAGATAGGCACCGCAACAAGGGACACAAACATATAAAAACAAATATATATGTACATATTTTTTATGTATATTTTTTGATATATATATATATATATATATATGTGTATGTATGTATGTATGTATGTATAAACTTTTGCTTGTTACTCCAAGGCCGGCCTCGTCCTTGTACTGGCTGTAAAGCGCCCTCCAGTTCTCTCGCCAGGCGCTTGAGTCTGAGTGCTTTCAAATATAGACATCAGCGGTTTCGTTAAATCCTTAAAAAAAAACGCAAAACTTTGTTACGTGCGTGCAGGTGTCCGGCGCCGCCTGGCTGACTGTTTCGCTGGGGGCCCTTTCCCATCGCGGGCATGGCTCCTCCTGGGCGCCCTCGAGGCTGCTGGCCGGCCATGGCTTGGACCGGCTTGACTTGGCAGCTCCTTGGCTGCCTGACTAAGTAACTCCTAAAGCTGCTTCTTGAGCTTGGGAGTTGCAGCGGCCGAAGATCGATCTCGCTTGGGAGCATTTGCCGCGGAAAAGGGCTGTCCAGCCCTTGAAACTTTACTTGCAGGCTCATGCAGCTGGAGGGTCGATGTGTTTTTCACTCATGCATACTGGCTTATGCAGTCGAGGCCACCGGTCTTCCAGCCCTGGCTTGGAACACTAAAAGACTTGAAACTAGGACTCCAAAAACTTAGCCTTCTCCTTGAAGGCCTCTGCCAAAGAGCCGCCCTCGGCGAGCTTCTTCTTCATCTTGGCAACCTGAAGCTTGGTCTTATCCCGACCATGCTTCCTGCACACGCTCTGGAAAAGCTGCCTAGAACCGTCGACTCTCAATGCGACACTGTCGTGGTAGTGCATGATCTGCAGCTTGCCCCTTTCAGCCTCCGTCAACTCGGGCTTGTCCTTGTCCTTGGGGGCCTGATGATGGAGAAAACATTCAGGGCTTCACTTAAATACATCTTCCTAGATAGAAATATATGCTTACGAACAACAAAAATATTTTTCTAATGTTAAGATTAGAGGCCGGCTTCTTCTTCGGCTTGTCACTGTCCTTTTTCACAGGCTTAGCGGCTGCAGCTGGCTTCTTCAAAACCTCGCCCTCCCAAGACTTCCTGATTCGAGCCTTGCTGCCTGGCACGGGACTGCCTTCGGCTCCCTGGCTCAAACTCGTCTTGGCGGTCTTGGGAGTGTCTGGAAGCTCCAGATCCCTGGTCCGAATCTTTCGAAGCGGACTGCTCGCAGGGGCTAACGACCGTAGCTTTGGCGGCTTGGTCGCAGGGCTTGGCGTCCCTGTGCGCGGCCGCTTGGTGTTGTGGGTCTCCGCCTGCTGGAGCTTGGCTGGTGAGGCCGACACTTCTGGAAGAAGCAGCGCCCTGAGTTCCTCGAGATCCTTGATCTCGAACTGGGTCGCCTTGCTGCACGCCTCCTTGAACCTGGTGTCGTTGCACAAGCGGCGAGCATGAGCCATGACGGTCAGCAGCATCTCGGCCGTGTCCCCAGCCCAAGCAGTTTGCTTGCTCAGCGGGGCCTGGTGGATGAGGTCCGGGTAGTCTTTGCTGACCTTGGCCAAGCACTCCTTCAAGTCCTTGTACTTGAAAGCCAAGCCGCTCTCCACCTCCTGGAGTTTCTTGAGCAAAACCGTCGCCTTTGAAAGCCCTTTGGCCTGGACAGCACTCGTCTTGGCTAGGTTGCCGTAGGGGTCGAAGTTGAAGGCGGCCTGGACACCTAGGAGCTTGACGTGTTTCTTGAACACGTCCAGCAAGTGCTCCTGGTCCACCTCCGGCTTGGCGAAGTTGCGTTCGCCGCCGCTGCCAGCAGCTGCGGGGCTGCCCATGGCTCTAAGAACCTGAGGACTTGCCTGGCGGCCTGCAGCACTTAAACCCGACAGACCTGCCTGGAGCTTGAAGCCCAGGACCTGGCTAGGCCTGCCTGAAGCATGCAGCGTACTATGAAAAAAACTTCAGCTCAGGTCCTCTTCTCGCCAAGACAATTTTGCATGTCAAGCAGGGCTTGATCGATCTCGGCTTGAATTATACCCTGGCAGTAGCCTGCCCTGGATTAGCACTTGAATTAAGCCGCTTCTAACAAACGACCCCTTGAATCTTGGAACCTGGGACGGCGCGGAAGCGGCAGAATCTCTGCCGCCTCCACACTTTCCTATGTTCTCAAAACTTGAGGCTTGTCCTGGAGCTCACCTCCCAGCCGCCTGGCACTGGTCAGATCCTCGGACCTGGCGCACGGGCGGCTCAATTTAAAAAAAATGTAGCGTCCACGTGCTCCCTGATCCTCGCCCGCAACTCCTGGTCGCTCCAGGACTGGTGTACCTTAAGCCCCACCCGCACTGCTTCCGAAAGTAGTTGAGGCTTCGTCATTCCGCTCAAGGCGCCTGGGTTTGCTTGGAGAGCGATCAATGAAGCATCGTTGAGCAACAAGCGGATGTACCCGTGCTCCTTCATCTTCATGTGCTTCGTCGCCTCCGGCCAGCGCTCGGGGTCGATGTCCATATCATTCTCGATCTTGTACATGAGGTACTCCAAAAAGTCAGGAAGCCCACTACCTTGTCGACATCCCTTAGCTCTATATAAGTAAAAAATTAAATACAAAGTCTATATACGGCATATGTATAAGTATATATATATATGTATGTATATGTGTTCATGCCAAGAATCTCCAGCTGGTCTCGGTAACCTCTCCGCCACATCACGACCAAGGACCTCGCGACTTTGCCTGGAACCTTGGCGTGAAGCAGCTTGGCATAGGCCTGGACGACAATTTCATCATCGCCCTGCATCTTGACCTAGCCCAAAGTTCCTGGCAGCTTGGCTTGAAGACGGCTGCCATGCACGAGATTTGAAGCATGATTCCCCCCCTTCTTCCTTCTTAGGGCCGTCCGGCCCCTGGAAGCTTTGGTTGCAAGACGGCTGCCATGCACGAACCTGCCAAAAATGATTCCCCCGCCTTCTCCCTTCGTGGGGCCGTCCGGCCCACATCCCATCTCTTCTGTCTGTCTCCTCCGTCTCTCCGTCTCTCCGTCTCTCTGTCTCTCTGTCTCTCTGTCTCTCTGTCTCTCTCTCTCTCTCTCTCTCTCTCTCTCTCTCTCTCTCTCTCTCTCTCTCTCTCTCTCTTCTCTCTCTTCTCTCTCTTCTCTCTCTTCTCTCTCTTCTCTCTCTGTCTCTCTCTCTATCTCTCTCTCTCTCTCTCTCTCTCTCTCTCTCTCTCTCTCTCTTTGTTTAGCAAATTGGGGCCGCCCGGGCCGTCGTTTCAGCTTGAAGCTGGTCATTGAAATCAATAGAAACATCCACCTCAAAATCAATAGAAAATCTCCATAAAATCAATAGAAATTTTCCATAAAATCAATAGAAAGACCACGATTAAAATCAATAGAAGTCAACACTCAAAATCAATAGAAACACGTACCAACAAAAGTTCCAAACGATTGAAATTTCCTCAAATTCAATAGAAGTTTCGTGTGCCTCCAAAATCAAGCGGCCGATTGAAAAAAATCAAGCGGGCGTCCTCTGGGTGCTATGTCGTTTACCCAGCTTTCCAGGGTACTGATGCCGTGTGTGAAGGCCTTTCTGAGTGCCAAAGGATCTGCAGCAAGCTGAGAACTAATTTCTATGGCCCGTGCTTGTTTGAGGCTACATGGCTATTTTCAGCGAATTCTTTCAAGTTGCTGATCCTAAGACGGCATGTTGGCCGAACACGTTGTGGCTGAGTGCTCATTGCCACAGCGACAGACCTGGCTTGCAAGTCGACAGAAGCTACATAGTGGATTTCCTGATCATTATTTGTGTGTACAGGATATACCAGTGGAACAGAATATGAAATTCCTCTTAAGTGAAGCTGAGTACTGTGTGGCCGGAGTTTGCACTTTAGATTCCACAGTTCCCGGGATTTTGGGTCGCTGTCGGCAGATGGTATGTGGCAAGGGTTCACCGGCTTGTGTTTAGAAGCACCTCGGCTGACGTGGGCCGGGATTGAAAAGTCAAATGTGCTTCCGAGCCAGACCTCGCATGTGAACTTTCATGTATTCCAGTGTGCAAGCATTGCTTTGAGGCAGATTCATCTGTCTTGGTGCCTGGCGCGCAGGCCTGGTGTGCGATGCGGCGGCATTGTATGAGCTGTTGAAACATGCTGTTCAGGAAACCACATCCTTGAGGGAAGCTGTGTTAGCTCGAGATAGCCACTGCGCCCTTTGATCATGGAAGCCTCGTCTGCCTCTGATTTGAAAAGGCTGCTCCCAGAGAAGACGCGGATCCTGTGGTATGGCAAGGGCCTGAATCCCATGTTGGGGTTCATGCCAGAATCTGCAGTGGTTTTGGCACCGACACTACCGGATGCTGCCATGCTCGCCCGCATCCGGACTGCTTGCAAATGGCCAAGGCCAAGGTGTTTGACTGCGGAGTCTACAAGCCCATGTCATGTCAGCTTTGACCTTGGTGTTGCAGATGTGTTCTTGGGCAGTGTCACCAAGACCGAGACCCTTTCAGTCCTGTCTCTCGCAATGGCCACAGTTTCCATTGTTGTGCTCGCGGTCAATGGGAACTACTCGGATCCTGCTGATTGGAAGGATCCAGCGGGCTGGGTTACCATGCGCAGGGAAGTCAGTTGGTCCACGTGGACCGCTCTCGAAGCTCACAGTCAGCTGTGGTTGTGCGTCCGTGGAGAACTTGAAGCAAAGACCCGAATCATTCAGGATATCGACACCATCTTCCAGAAGGTGTTCGCGGATGTGAAGCCTGCAACAGCAGTTGTGCGGGGAGTTGATCGATATGTTGTTCAGAGGGGCAAGCGGCAACGCACGACCTACAATCTTCCTGCGCCATGTACAGCAGAGAAGGTGTTCCGATCACCGGCAGCTTCAGCTGCAGATCCCACAGAGTTCTCGCCGCACGAGTTCTTGCCTCTGCTTGGCTACGGGGATCAAACCAACATACATTTGTTGACTCCGGCCTGGCAGATGAAAGTCTTGTCTCACAGTGTTCCTTTTAGTGTTGGCGAGCTGATGTATCGCTTTGCAATGCGGCTTGCCTTAGCATCCTCATCGAAATGATCACATGTGAAGACTGCTAGAAATTTGTGGTCTCTGAGCTGCGGATGACTCCCCCTCCTCAGCGAAGGAGCAAATACTTGTAAAACTTAGAGAGCAAGCCCGCAGTTCAGATTTTGAGGCCGTGACAAGCCAGACTCTTCAGCTGCCTGCCCTGCTTGGAAATGTACTGCAGTTTGTGGCCATGCAGGCTAGCCGGCCGGCCCATGCGAGTGATCATGCGAGTGATTGGACAGTGTTGCGATGACTGACACTGTAGATTCTCGCCGCGTAAACTAAATCTTTCTAAATTCTCCTAAAGTCCGAGGGAAACATGCCATTATTCTCCTGTGTCCCTCTGACAGGCCAGACAACTTCATGCTGCCGGCCCTTGTCGTTGGAGGTTCTGGCTTTCGGTTTTGGTCATGACCCGGCGCAACGCTGGCATATAGCATAGATGCATGGTCCTGTCCCACTCCCACGTGTTATGTTTCGCAGCGCATGGTTCCCAGTGCAACCTTGATTGAGATATGGCCAGGTTACATGCTTCTGCGAGAAGCGGTGTCGCAGCAGAGCAGCTGGGCAAGTTTATGTCCCTGACACTGCCGAGGCTACTTCTGAGCGCATGTAGCCCTGACTCACTGGAGCAATGTTATGCTGGGGTATCATAACAGCATGTTGCGGGGTCTCCGTCAGCTGCATTACCAAGAAGACATTGATTCATAGGGGAAGCGGTGTGAGCAATATGGCCTCACACAGACATCAGGCTGCCTTGACACGACTTCATCTTCTCGCCTTCCGAACTTTCTCCAGTGTACACGGTGCTGTCTGCGAGGGAATGATCACAGCGAATGATGTTGGTTCACATCTCAGTGGACTGACAGTTCAGGTTGAATGCCTGTGCCTCCGATTGATCATTGACCTAGACTCGGGTTGCTTTACCTAGCCTCGTTCCCGGGGACATCTGATTACGTTGCCGAGGCTGTGTGCAAGACGACCGGGCCAAGGGCCCAGTCTTCAGTACTGTGTGCTGCGATGGACAGACGCGGGCATGTGGCATCATGTTGAAGTTGGACTGTGTGCAGCGGGTCAGTTCGGAGTGATGCACCATGACATGGCAGATCACCTGTGTTTGCCGTTGCAGATCCTGGTGGCTCCATCTGATTGTTGCAGGCTCCGGCTGCTTGCTCCTCAAGTTGCCATGTGCGATTGGTTCCTGGCGGTCACATCGGCTGAGTGGGACCGTTGCGTCTTTAGCTTGGGCTACATTGATCCTTCACGGGTTACACTGGTCTCCAAGAAAGATTCTGTGTTGTGTCCCACTTCGCACACTGCCTTCATGGACCCTTGCATGCATAGAGTTTCGCATATCCACATTCAGAGTGTGAGATAGCCATCGGCCGGCCAGCCAAGGACAGGGTGTACTCGGAAGGGAGGCGCCTCAAGTGCAATCTCAGCAGCTACGGCACTGCTCGACGACCGGACACGTCAGATTGCACCTTGCCGCGCGAAATGATGATCGCAAATATCCGAGTTTTGACCTCCGACGCCATGTCCACCTTTAAATCTGCTGGAGAAAGGATGCTTGCAGATGCTATGCATTTTGGCCCGCACACGCCGACCTTGTGCCCGGACGATCGCCTCATGGGGTTATCTTCGTGTTCTTGGGATGTCAATTTCTCCACGGCCAGCCTCTGTGTCTTTGGGACAGAAGTCTGGAGCAAAGGTGGGGCTCGGGAAGCCAGGTCCATCTGGAATTTCTATGTGGCTTTGAAATCGACGCCCACGGCAGGTGACGACTGGCAGAGTGCATCCCACTATGTGTTGCAGAACATGGCCGCTTTCATGGCAGCGAATACCTCGGCCCCGTTCTCCAAGGGGATGGGCGATGGGCTGGTGTTGTACCCTTCCCACCTGGACTGTGTGTATATGGCCACAATCGCTGCTCGTAAAATGAAGGAGCCCGTCGACAAAGTGCCAGTGCTCAAGCTCAGCGTTGATGCCGACCGCCTGAAGTCCACGAAGGACTCAGCAGGGAATTGTTGAGAGTGAGCGTGATGCCAGCTTAGAGCTAATCGCAGTCATGTGTAGCTTTTGATGCTGCTCTGCTAGGACATGCGGGTCTGCTGGACTTCTGAAAGGGGAGCTGCCGTGGCTTATTGGTTTGTTGCTCCCCGGAATCCGCCACCTGAGAACCCAATGGAGATCGCCGCCACGGTTGCCTTCTCCCACGTGCTGGACATGTCCACCAATGTGGCCCTGCACGAGAGTGCCCTGGATGTCAACTTGGGCCCTTCAATCAGCTTGGAGTCTGTGTTGAAGGAGGGAGAGAAGAAGAGGACCGCTTAAACACCTGTGGTCACATCGCTGTGCTGTCGAAAAGCTTCTGAATCATGCCTTCATTCATTGCTGCCAGGATGTCTGAGATGGCATCCAAGCTTTCGCTGCAGATTGCCACGAAGCAAGCAGAGTTGCAGGAGTTGCAGCAGCAGCTTGCCGAAGTCCAAGACAACAATGCGGCCGAAGTTGAAGTCACGACAGGATATTTTGTGAAGCGCCGCCGTCGAGGTACCTTGGAGGATGAGGAAACGAAATCGTTCTCATCGCTCTCTGGTCCCTGAGGGAAGATACTTTTGCGGCAGGTCATAGCAGTACAGCCGGCATGAGTTTGCTGGCAGCCAGCTGCGTCGCTGTTCTCCATGCCTCGCCCCTGCAAAGCAGCAGCAGTGTGATGTAGTTCACAAGCCGTCTGGGTGTAAACTTAGAGTGTCAACTAACTCTGCAGCCATATTGTTGCTTCAGCCTCAGCTGTGTCGCAGGCAGGCTCACTCGCTTCGTTGTTGAAGCAGGATTCTGAAGGCTCCCCGAGCCACGATGCAAAAAGTTGTTCCTCTCTGACGAACGTGTCGATCTGCGCAGTGCAACAGATTAGCAGCCTGTTAGTGAGTGGGCTAAGGCCAAACCTTGCCAGCCCTGCAGTGTGGACGAGGCAGGCAGCTGCCTGTTGATGCAGAGCGTGTGCAAGGATGGTTCTATTTTAGTGAGAGTGGGGCAGGAAGTGTTCATTTTCGGGCATGAGCTCAGAACTTGAAGGGGGTGACACTTGTCCAGCGTGACTCCGCTTAAATTCCACGCACTGTTGTATCAAAAGAAAGCGGCCTGAAGTAGCTGCTGTCATTCATTATGTCATGTCACGGGCATGCTCACTGGGAAATGCCGCGGTGTGCTCATGTGGGTTGACAGTCTCGGGCAAGTCACATTGCTGTTGGGCCGTTGGTCTAGCAAGACAAAATTTGAGGCAAGCCACGCCTCTTGCCTTGGCAGAGCGGCAGCCCGACTCTCAGCCCGCTGCTAGTAAGCTAGTAGTGAAGGAGGTCGGCTAAGCTAAAGATGACCTTGAATGTGGTCCTTGGTGAGAATTAATTTAGTTTAGCGTATGTTTCAAGCATATACAATCTCGTGTTCCGGGCTATCAGTTGTGATGCATTTCCGGCCTTTCGTCGCGGTAGTCACGCTGATTCAAGTTATCGGACAAGGACCCACCTGCGCCATATGGACCTTAGCTCAGCCGGTCGCCATGGCCCTTGAGGGATTTTTTCCCACCCGCCCAGCCACAGGGACAGGGGATTTGGGGCTTAGAGGGGTTTAGGGCTTAGAGGGGATTTGGGGCTTTTTGTGAAAGTCTGTTGGGGTTTGGAGTTTTATGGCATTTTTGTGAGGGTCTGGTTTGTGTTTGCACCCGACACTTGCGAGTTCTGCTCCTGCCGGGCGTTGGGCTTGATACAAGTTGGCCTCGGAGTCATAACAAAGCTTTGCAGATCTTGGCTTCTTCCTTGTAGGTTCACACATACTCCGCTGGAATTTGAAGAAGACTGAGAGTCTGAGCGTCCGACATACATCAGTATTGTACCCGGCCAGCAAGGAAATCATCATAATGAGGCGGCTCAGCAGCGAATGACGCAGTGCTTGCAAGGTAGAGCCCAGACAATATATGCCAACACTGTCGCAGTTGAATTTTGCTCCTGATCTGCTGGTAGAGCATCCACAGCGAGATGTGGGCAACATGCCGTGGCTTTGTGAAAGGAAGATCCATAGGAGAGCTCACATAGCTGAAATCAGAGCACAGATTGAAGCTCAGACCCGACAGCAGACTACTCAGTGTTATCTTCACGACGATGCCATTGCATGTAGAGCAGAGAGCACAAAGAATACATACACACACATATCACCAAGAATCAAGCAGCTTCTACAAAAGTGATTCCCGAACTTGCGATCCGCTGTTCGAGGCTTCGCCGCTGGCTCTCTCGAACCTTCTGCAGCACCAGGTTGGGGAACATCAGAGTCCGCGGACAAACCTTCTTCTTCCCCCCCTTCGTCATACTCCGTCCACAGAACATCTCTGCGCTGAGCTTCTAGATCGGAAAGTGGCTGGATAGTGATACTGAGCGAAGCAGTATGTAGTGCAGAGGAAGATTGGTCAGTGCCCCCGTGACATGAATATCCATGGAGGCGAAAATCTCCATGACAGCTCCAGAGATGCGACCAGCTAGAGCAGCAGCCTCGGGTAGTGGTCGCGCTGGGAGGGGGTTCCTCTTGGCGTGCGTGGCACCTCATGGTTCACATCTCCTCCGTCTGGGGCAACTCCAGGGGACCTCTCAATTTCTGAGCTGTCCGACGATCTGGCCTCGCGACTCATGAGGCAGGAGTGCAGATGGTAGCACAGGAGATAGCCAAGGCGTTACACGGTTCTGAGTCCAACTGATACACGAACATAGTGCATTGCTGAGGAACACTGCATACGTTTCAAGTGCAAGCAATAGATCAAGGACATGACAGCAGTACATATCCATCCCAGGGCACACGACATCCTGGTTTGTAGAGGGGCGCAGGAGTGACCCATGCCTGCAGAAGGGGAACATCAAGGTGAGATGAGCTGAGGGTGGCACAGGTTTTTCCGGACTGGAGCATTAATGAATGCAGCCGTTGTGAGCACGGTGGGCACTGGACGGGTAAGACTTGTAAGA